ACGTTACATTACTGATTTTTTTCAGCATTATGCTGGTTTCTACTTGCTTTGCATAACATTACAAGGTGGTCTGCACTGATCTAATCTGCCCTTATTCTTTGTACTCAGAGCAACCTGTGTGGACATTTGGAGACCTGAAGACCTGCTGCCAGACCACTGGGACACAGCTGATCATCTGTTCATCTTCATATCTGCTGCTTGTTTTCATAACTAAAGCAGAGGCTTTCTACAACATCACATCACTATCCACACATTGAACTTTCCAGTACATCTATAATCTGTGTTCATTACTAATATTTTGTTGTTGTCTTTTTGTCTTTTACAGAAATTACATCTGCCTGAAGTTTAGCCTTTTACAGAATACCAAAGAAGCCTGAAGTATAAAGATCAAAAATGGCTGAAAGGTAAGAATAGTTTTATTCAACGGTCCAGATAGATTATGTTGCATTTCTGTTGCATTTAAAAATCATCATAACCTTTTTTTATTCTTTGTGTCACAGAAAGCCACATCATCGCAACATTATCTACTGCCTGCGGTGCGAAAAAACACAGGACTGTATATCTGTTCATTTAGCCAGAGTCTGCATGAAGAACAACTCTAAAGCAGAGATCTTAGCAGAAACCGAAAAGGCAAAAGAGTCGATGAAAAATTGGATTAGACAATCAAGAAACTGGGACTACCATGAGATATGCAGTTTCATTCCCAACAAAAGTAAACGGCTACTTTTTGTGGAGAAGCTGCTAAACAAAGGTTTCTTTATAAGCAACCTGTCAAATGCAGCTGACATGGCAGATGTGGCTGAAGGTACAGAAGTTGTTGTGGAGCAGCCATCAGCTGTCGCTCCAGCAGCTGAGTCGCATCCTCAGGCCAGTACCAGTGAGGAAGAAGCTGGTCCTGCTGAAGAAGAGCCCAGTACCAGTTCAAGACCCAATGTGGCAAATGTAAGTTTAAGTTCAACACAAAACACAGAATTGTTTGTGAGCACACCCAGAACGTGTTTTACTAATATTTCATACCTGTGGTTTTGTCTGTTTGTAGGCCTACTTCCTCAGGCCAAACATCAGTSAGGAGTAATATGCTTAAAATGGGACTTTATGAAAAGTTCCCTCAAGAATCGRCTCTCTTGGTGAAATTCAAGCATTATCTGAAAAATACTCTTGATGTCCCAAACAACCAACAAGAGGTAAGTTTGTTTGTGAGCATGCAAACAGGGACTCTGGTGACTATTTTGTGATGTGTAGTTTCAGTATTTTCTGCATGTGATTCTAAGTACTAGTGATAATAGGTATTTCCATTTTCCATTGTAGGTGGACAATGTCTCCCGGATGTTGAGATACATTCAACCGAGTGGAGATGAAATCAATTTGGACTTTCTCTTGAAGTTRCAGGAGACGAATGACTTCATAACGAGTCTTAAGAATGCCAAAATGGGTCCATCTACCATCTTGAATTATGTGAAAAACATGATTCGTTTTGTGCAGTTCCTTAAAACATTTCTGTATTTTGAAACCCAAGAGCATACCCACACACTGAAATGCCAATCCTACATTGACCTCCTAAATATCATCAGGAAACCATTGGCTAAGGAGATCAGCAGGCTTGGATGTAAAGTCAGGTCAGTTTAGTAGACATGTACCCCCCAGCATTTCAGTTGCTTAACTGTGTATCTTGTGAGGTTTATAAAAGTATTTTTTCTTTCTTCTTTCAGGTATGACCGCTTTGTTGAAGGCCAGCGGAGCATAAGCAATTGTCAGAAAGTGCTGACTGTGGGAAGAAAAGACACGCTTAATGTGTTGAGCAAGTTATTAAGCGACGACTTRGTGTCATCGGAACAAAAGACTTTGTACCGGTACTACTGCGAAGGCATTCTGATCCTAAACCATTTCCAAAGACCAGGAGTGGTAAAAGGATTCAGTGTAAGTTATTTCCTTACACAGTGTTCATCTTATCTCGARACKAAAATGACTTAAAGATGTTAATATTTGCACTTTCCTTCAATATCAGGTTTCAGAGTGGCTGAAAAAATATGAAAAWGATGGCAGAATCTCCTTCGGTGTCAGRCAGCATAAGACGGCAAACACCCAACTTGCAAATTTTGGCCTGACCCAGGAGGAGTATGCAGTAAGTTTTCAAATAGATAATCAACTGTACCATGATCCATCACAGTTAACTTCATTTGTTGATCTTATTGTGTTCACAGCTGTTTGATGGATACTACAGATACATTCGGCCAGAATGGGTGAAAGAATCTGGTGAAGAGAACGACAAATTTTTCATCAACATTAATGGTCGGCCTATAAAAAGTGCCTCCAATGACCTGAACCGTCTGCAGGACCAGTAAGTATCAATGAACTACTGCATTAGTTAATGTACATGCAAAATGTTCATTACAGCAACTTTTCTCTTTCAATGCAGCTACAAGGTGACAAAAGTGACCAGCCAGGAGGTCCGGAGAGTTTTTGAAACAAAAGTTGACCAGACCTGTACTGAGGAGCAAAAGAAGCAAATAGCACAGTATTTGGCTCATTCAAATGCGTTTGCAAATGCC